AATAGTCCCCAGCACGCTCTCTGTGCAAGCAGGTGGTCACGTTGGTTATGCTGACGGAAGTTAGCCTATTATCAGGCGCTGCGTAATATCATTGAAAATAGAAAATCGCAACTTTTCATTTTCCGTCGGTCTTAGTACACGATGTAACTACAGAAGAGACAAATTTTAAATAGGAAAAATATAGAAACTCTTTGGTCATTTTTGAGCGAGATGCTAACGGTCTAATCAGATTCAATTATCTATGCTAAGCTACAGCTAAAAGTGCTACCACCAGACCCGGAGATCGGCTGAATGGATTTGAAAACGGTAAAACTCAACTGTTTAACTCTAGGGGAGTTGGAAAATGAGCCTATTTTCAAAAATAGTGGAGTGTTCCTTTAAGGCAACAACTGAAAAAAAAAGAAAGTTCCACCAGCACTCCATGTTGGAATCCTTGCAATCGGATCAAAGTGTAAAAAGCATCGTGATCTCGTGACCCGGTGGCTTTCCTGTCGACCCACTCTCTCTTATTTAACACATCTGATATCATGTGGCAGATAAGAGAGACATACAAAACGAGCAGCGCTGTGGGTCACCAGGACCAACCGTACTGTGGCAAGAATGCTTTTTTAAATTACGTTAATAATTACTTATGCAATTTGATTTAAAATATGAAGTGTGGCTGCTGCAAACTGAAAAAAAGACAATTCGAAAGCTATAGAAATTAAGAGTAAATGCTAAAAAAAAAAAATACTCACAGGAAGCAAATCATGTACAATCAGCTATTAATCAAACACAATCACTATGGTTGTCATGTATAGCAGACATTACTTCTATAGATCTGATTGTTTTTCTTTCATATTACTGCAGAATGACTGAATATATGGCTCACTTTGTCGATCGTGCTCATTAGCTTCTCAAGCAATGCATTGTGGGGAAATTACAGCACCACTTTTATGATACTGATGATATCTTTTTATTTCTTATGTTATTGTCCCAAAAATTTTTTCTTTAACATTTGTCCTTTGCTATCCATGTCGAATGTTACATTATATTCAAGTGTTCCTTTGTGTCATATTATTTTTCATCATGTTTATGTATATGTGTGATCATTTAAATAACAAATCACCTATTGTACAGTATTTTGCTATGTTTGCATCACCAGATTACTACAGTAACTTATGTATTCACAAGGTTTTACTGAAAATAGCCTCTAATAGTCTATCCAGCTTGCTAAACAGAAGAACTGGTTACACAAACAACACTTTTAACCTAGAGCTCACTATAAAGCTCACGGCTCTAGTGCGTGAAGGCCTTTTCCCCTAAGTTTTCATTTTAATTAAATGTGGCCCATTTTATTGTATTTATTTTCTTTATTTATTTCTTATTTATTTATTTATTACCTGGGCCTTATGGAATCTAGCATCTATAAATCTATATTTTAATAGCAATGATAAGAGATATTTGCAGTCTTTGTACATTACAGTACATCAACAAAACCTTATTTTAGTGGGGGTTTTTTCTTTTCTCATCACTCCATAATATATGTGTGTTGTTTTGCCATTTAGGCCTAGACTCTGTTATTCAAACTCTCATTCAAAAACAATAAATGTTCACCATGACAAATATCCATGAACCTGATTATACAATTAAAATGAGCCAAACTGCGTCTGGGACACTTGAAAACAGCCTTTGTTATGTTGCTTTTAACTCAAGCCTTTATGTAACGATTCAGGCCACCTTGAGTTGTTTGATATTGGATATGATACAACGTGCTGACATCACCTCTTCCATCATCAAACTTGGTTTTGTTTTCAGAAAAGGCTGATCATTTACTGTTTGGATGAAATGGTTTATTACATTTTGCAGAAATATTCAAACCAAGGTATGTGCGTGAGGTCTAAATGCATCAGCGTTCCAGCATAGCAGATTTTGGCTTATTGTTTGATCTCCACATTGCCAGTGAAGATAAAGGAAGAACAGAAAATCTCCAAAAGGAAAAAAAAAATCATGTCATTCTGATAGCTGCATGAGCACAGGAGGACAAACACATGCAGGCATGCCTTGCACAACACATGCAAACAAGCATGGGCAGAGATGTCAGTCAAGACATGACCACTCTCTAACTGAGAGCAAAATGTTCATTTTCATCTGCTCTTGTGTGAACAACTCTATAAAATGTCTGGGTAAAATGTATGATAGCTTTACACTGTGTTGGATCTCTTTATTTTTGCAATGTCTTATTCTCTAAACTGTTTAAATAAGCTAAAGGTGTTAGCAGGTGTTGATGGCACACTCACCGACATTTGATTCCCTCTTAAGTGTTTGCATTTGTGTGGATGTATCCATCCATTAGCTTCTTTCATCTGTGCTTTCTGGCTGCCAATAGACCAGTATGGCATATCGATTGGAGCAGGTATCAGTATTGCTGATGACAATTTTGAGGATTTTCTTTCAAACTTGGTAGCACATCAAAAGTTAAAATTTTGATGGTTTAATATTTCGAATTCTCAGCAAATTTGAGTTAAATAATGCTGGCCAAAAGTTATTCTGTTATAGCAAACTCTTGTATTAAATTTCACGGTAAGGATACCTAACAGGAAGACTTAACTTCACAATGCTTTGCAATGTTGACATTAAGCTTGGTATGTATTGTCTCAGTACCCTGGATTTGGCGACAGCACCACCTATTGGTAAACAGTCTTTAAACTGGACACAAATCATTATAATCTTGAAAAAAAAATGGGCTTAGACGCCTGATAATTTTCTCCATATTTTCCATATATTAATACTGTACTACTGCATTTAAAATGTCATTTTCAGTTCAGTTTTCACAATACTGATGAAATGCATTTTTAAACAACAATGTGGCTATCAAAAATTACAGCCAAACAAGAGGCGAGGCTGGACTTCTGCAACACTTTTGCATACTGACATGAAGGGCTGTATGTGTCCACTACACCAGTGTGCTCTGCCTTGCATGTATTCTTACACCAGAGTGTTTGGACTCGTAACTGCTGCCAGAAACCAATTTTTCATTACACTCTCGCTTGACTTGGATCAGTTTAGACTGTTTAGCGGTAAGTTATATTTCAGCAATGTACTTTCTTTCAATCCCTGTGATGGACTGGCCATCTGTCCATATAGTGTTTCCCTGCCTACAGCCTGAGACGCTGGGATAGACTCCAGCATCTCTGTGACAGGTTTGGAGGATAGATGGATGGATGGACTTAATAAGATACCAACCCACTGAAAACCATTGGTGCTCTTAATGTAACCCCTCTCTCCCGGGTCCTCACCGCCACACCTCATTCTTGTTCTGAGTGGGTCTCGAACCCGGGTCTCCAGCATGGGAGGCGGACGCGCTAACAAGGAGGCTAAAGACTGCAGCCCATAGCATCACCTGCGCACCTGCACGGCACCTACCAGCTGGCCTCCGTTACACTCACCCCCTTAATGGTTTGCACATTCACTGACTGAACTGTTGACCCACACCCCAACAAAAGTCTGGTACGTGTGGCATTTATGAGAACAATTCCATTCCTGCATTTTGTCAGAAACAGGAAGAACCCAAAAATTCCCTGAGACAGAAGAATTTGTGCACAATTGATCGTGGGCCAAGATAAATAGTTTACACAAAGACATTCATTCAAAAAAAGCCTATCTCGAAAAAATGGCAAGTACCGTCTTGTGGGTTGTGAAATACATAAAACATCTATGAAGCTATGCTATCTACTGCTTTAACCCTGCTCACTAAAAAAGGGAAAACCCTTTCAAAAAAGCTAAAGAAAAAGTCCTACCATTGATTTCATAATGTCAGCATGTTGTTCAGTAAGTGGATATGACATGACATGTCCTTAGTTGTTTGCTGTTTCAATTGGTTGTTTCTCTCATGAACTAAGGTTTTTAAGTCAATCCTGCGACTGTTGAAGATACTCCCAGAAGATGATGAAGAGAACAGTTTGCACCCTGTGACAGCAACACTGGCATGAGATCACATTTGTGCTATCTGGCCAGCCGAGGGAATTGATTTGGAAACCTGTTTAAAAGCATTCATTATTCTTGCATTGTGTTTGGCGACGCAAGAGGTGCAGAAATTACACACTTCACTCTTAACTACCAAATGACATCATCCAGGTGGCAATTTTGGCAGCTAAACAACAGCATGAACCCATGGATATATTAGCATTTTGATGGTTTGTCTCACACTATTGCATTCTTTCCTTTTTGTAAAATAAAAATAAAAAAGATTGTTAAAAATATGAAAATTAACTCTTAAGTCGACATCATGAACTGCCAAGCCCCTTACTGAGCTAATTTCAGTCATCATACAGGCACAATGACTAGCTCTTTCTTTTTCTCATCACTATGTAAATAGCCAGGTTATAATGAATAAAGCTTAAGAGTTCAGAAAGTCTGATAAACCCTTCTAGAATTATTTGCAGCACAAGTCACTGCTTTAAAAGCAACACAGGAATGTTCCAGCTACACTACATTAAACAAAGAATGAGGTTTTAACTGTCATGGGATAGAAACTCTTTAATGCCATCAGGTATGTGCTGTCAGATGTCTAAAATGTTTGAAATACCTTTCAGTCAGCTTGGAAGCAAGCCTTCCATTCATTATTTAAAGGAAAAGTTCTCTCATCATCGACTCACCTTAGACTTTCGATCTTCTGCAGAACACAAACAAAGAATTTTAGAAGGATATCATATACAATGCAAGTGAATGTAGACCAAAGCTCCAAAAACACCTAAAGGCAGCCTAAAAGTACAACTCCAGTGGTTTAATTCATGTCAACAGATTTAATCATTTGGGGTCAAAGCAAACT